ACCTCAGCGTCAACCTGCTGGGTTCTGGCGATCCTTACACGGGGTGCTACCACTCCTGGCTAGTTTTTTATTTATTGTAGAGACGAGGTCTTGCCAAATTGTCCAGGTGAATCTGGAACCCGCGGGCTCAGGCAATCCACTTGCCTCGGCCTCCCAAAGTGCTGGGATTACAGGCTGAGCCGCCGAGCCTGGCCTCTCTCTCTTTCTTTTGAGTAGAAGTCTCGCTCTGTCACCCAGGCTGGAGTGCAATGCCACGCTCACAACCACCATAGCCTGGACCCGCTGGGTCCAGGTAGCTGGAACCACAGGCACTGCCACCACACTTGGCTAATGCGTTGACTTATTGTAGAGAAGAGTTTTTGCCAAGTTGCCCAGGCTGGTCTTGCCTTGGGCTCCGACAGTCCTCTCGCCTCGGCCTCCCAAAGTGTTGGGATTGCAGGCGTGAGCCACTGCACCTAGCCCTTTTTCTGCTTTCAAACCTTGTGTCTTGGGTTTTGTGGCCTTCCTTTGCTCCTTTTCAGAGCTGTTTTTCTTACATCCTCATTGGTCTCCTGGTCCTCAGCCTGTCTTCACATCAGACTTTCCCCACACGATCTCCAGGTTACACAGTCTTCACGTCTTTATCACATCTGTCTTCCCCACTGCCCCCTCGCCCCCCACACTTCCAGTGGCTCCTCACTACTCAGAGGAAATCTCAGAGAAGGCTTTCTATCAGCTGGATCCAGGACATAGTTTCAACTTTGTCTCTTACGGTTTCCCTTCACAGCCTCACGATTCAGCCACGTTAACTTCTCATTACTCTGTAAATACCAAGCGCGGTCTGTTTTCCAAGTTTTCTTCCCGTAACATTCTCGTGTTGGGCTGCCAAACCAGATATTTACTAGCTGTGTGAACTGGGGAAGGCCAGTGAAGTTCAGCAACTATTCAGCGCCTACTGTGTGCCACGTTCTGCATTAGGTGTGGGGAGAACAATGACTAAGAAGGACATAACCCCTATCCTTGCAGAGCTCACCATCTGATGGAGAAGACTGCCTGTCAGGCCTGGGATTTCGGCAGCACAGTCTGCTGTTTGACAGGGAACGAGAAGCTTGGCCCAGAGCTGGGGGTCCGGGGAGGCCACTCAGAGGGAGTGGCTACTGACTGGGCCCAGAGGGTGGGCAGAGGCCTGCTAAGCACAGAGAGGGGGAGTGGGCTGAATCATGTTCCCCAGAGTGATGTGCCCAAGTCCTAAGCCCTGTGCCTCTGTATGTGACTCTGGAAAGGTCCTTGCAGAGGTCATTCCATCAAGGTTCTTTTTTTTTTTTTTGAGTTGGAGTTTCCTCTGTCGCCCAGGCTGAAGGGCAGCGACACGCTCCCGGCCACCGTAGCCTCTACCTGCTGGGCTCCAGCGATCCTTCCTCCTCAGCCTTCCAAGCAGCTGGAACTCCAGACGCGCGCCACCATGCCTGGCTGGTCTCAAATCCCCAGACTCCAGCAGTCCTCTCACCCCGGCCTCCCAAAGTGCGGGGCTGACCGGCTGAGCCACCATGCCCAGCCCATCAAGGGTCTTGAGGTGAGATGACTCTGGATGTAGGGTGGGTCCCCAGTGGGATGGCTGGACTCCTCGTAAGAGAAGGGAGAGGGAGACTGGAGGCTCACAGGGAAGAGACCACTGTGCGCGTGGGGGCAGAGATGGGGCGACCTCACGGCAAGCCGAGGAAGGCGGGGTCCCTGGAAGCTGAGGTGTGTGAGGAAGAACTGCCCCTGGGATCTAGGAGGACGTGAGCCTGCTGACAGCCTGACTTCTGCCCTTGGCCTCCAGAACGGAGACAACAGCTTTGTCTTCAGCCTCCCGGTTGGCCGAGTGTGGTGGCTCATTCCCCTAATCCTGGCCCTTTAGGAGGTCGAGGGGAGAGGACTGCCTGAGCCTGTGGGCTTGAGACCAGCCTGGGCAACTTGGAGAGACAACCTCGTCTCTCCAATAAGTCAAAAAATTAGCCGGGTGTGGGAGTGCGTGCCTGTAGTTCCAGCTACTTGGAAGGCTGAGGCCGAAGGACCACCTGAGCCCAGCAGGTCGAGGCTGCAGTGGCCATGAGCGTGCCACTGCACTCCAGCCTGGGCGACAGAAGAGACTCAGACTAAAAAAAAAAGCCACCCAGTTTGTGGTACTTTTTAGTGGCTGCCTTAGGAAATGGATGGATGCAGGGAGAGAGAGTGTTAGGAGGTGAGAGCGTGGGGTGTGTGAGGACCTGAACCAAATGAGTCCAGGGTGTGAGAGGTCATCACAGGAGTGACCACGGAGGGCTTGACAGTGTCGTATTCAGCTGGACCTTTCTCAGAGGGGCAGGAGGACCCTTTAGGCTTGCTAGCGGGTAAGGGAAAGGCTGTGACGCGTGCTTGGCATGACAGGTACTCAGTACTGTGCTCATCTGAGCTACGCCTGCGTGGTGACAACAGCTATCGTGTCCTGAGCTCCTGTGCTGAGCCCTCCCTCTGCACTGTCACACGTCATCCCCACAGCTGCCCTAAGGGAGCTATGAGGATTGTCACTCCAATCCCATAGACGAGAAAACGGAGGCTGAAGGGCTCAGACTGTGTCACGTTTGTGAACCAACAGGCATTTAGTCAATGTCTGCATTGGAGTGAAAAGTAGAATTCTGTGCATCCCGTATTCCATGTTTGAGAGACAAGACAGTAGAAAGAGACAGGAATGTTTTCATATTTGCTGGTGGCATTATGTACTTTTAACTCTAACTGGGAGACCAGAATGCTTTAAAGGAGTATGAGTTTAAAAGACAGAAAATGGACCAGGCATGATGGCCCAAGCCTGTAATCCCAGCACTTTGGGAGGCTGAGGTGAGAGATTGCCTGAGCCTGCTGTTCCCTGAGACCAGCCTGGGCAACATGGTGAGACCTCGTCTCTGCAATAAATAAAAAATAAACTAACCGGGTGTGGTAGTGCGCACCTATAGTTCCAGCTACTTGGAAGGCTGAGGCTGAAGGATCGCTGGGCCCAGCAGGTTGACGCCGGGGTGGCCATGAGCATGCTGCTGCACTCCAGCCTGAGCAATGGAGTGAGACTCCAACTCAAAAAATAAAAATTAAAAAAAAAAAAAGCCAACGGACCAGACTGGACAACTTAGTGAGAACTTGTCTCTCCAATAAATCAAAAAACTAGCCAGGCATGGTGGTACACGCCTGTAGTTTCAACTACTTGGAAGGCTGAGGCAGAAGGATCGACCGAGTCCAGCTGGTTGAGGCTGCGGTAGCCATGAGCGTGCCATGGCACTCCAGCCTGGGCAACAGAGTAAGACTCTGACTAAAAAAAAAAAAAAAAAAATAGATAATGGCCACATTTGTTTACTTTCTATAATACAATGATAAACACAGATTGAGGTGGTGAATTTTTAAGCATTATTTGCTGGAATAAATAAAAACACATAGGGTATAAGAATGTTCCCTCATCCTTTTTTTTTTTGAGTTGGAGTCTCACTCTGTCACCCAGACTGGAGTGTAGTGGCCACTCCCGGCCACCGCCGCCTCAACCTGCTGGACTCCAGCGATCCTTCCACCTCAGCCTTCCAAGTAGCTGGAACTACAGGCGCGCGCTACCATGCCCGGCTAATTTTTTGATTTATTGTAGAGATGAGGTCTTGCCGAGTTGCCCAGGCGGGTCTCGAGCCTGTGGGCTCAGGCAATCCACTCACCTCGGCCTCCCAAAGCGTGGGATGACAGGCTGAGCCACCGAGCCCGGCCATCCCTCATCCTTCTTAAGGCTAATTCCACTCCAGCCCAAAGGGTGATCTGATCTTGGGCGATCTGACCTGCACCAAATCTCAGAGTCGGAGGACCTTCTGAGAGCTGCCAGTGTTCTCAGCCCCAACAGGAGTGTTTTTTATTCCAAACTGGGCTTCTGAGCCTCCTCAGATCACCCCCAGAAGTCTTATTCTGCTGGAATTCCTGTGCCTGAGATATGAGAGGCTGAGATCTCTCGGCTGTCATAGGCCACTGAAGGGACAAAGCCCAAAATGGAGTTTCTGTGGCCTCCTTGAGCTCATCCACAATGTTAATCCTTTCCCAGAACCCTGGATGAGTCACAAGACATTGAGATGAACACCACCCAAGGATTTGTCTTTCAGCCTCCAGCCCAGCCCTTCCTGTCTCTGTAATTAACACCTGATTGACCAGCCTATCAGCTGCCAGCCCACATCGGTCTGTGTGCTAGTGACTGACCCACCCACCCACCTGGTTGTCAGCGATATGAGAAACAGACCCTATCACCATGATGTCAGCTCCTGTGAATGCTTGCCTGCCCCATGCCCCCCAAAAGGGAAGCCTCAGAAGCCTTCAACCCCAAGCATTCGCCCCCCGTTTCCTTCAAGGGTCTGGCCCCTTCTCTCCCTTGAGAAGTGAGTCCATTCTTTTTTTCTTTTCTTTTCTTTTTTTTTGAGTTGGAGTCTCACTCTGTTGTCCAGGCTGGAATGCAGTGGCACACTCCCAGCCACCCCAGTGTCAACCTGCTGGGCTCAGGCGATCCTTCTGCCTTAGCCTTCCAAGTAGCCAGAGCTACAGGTGCGTGCTACCATACTTGGCTAATATTTTGAGTTATTGTAGAGACAAGGCCTCACCAAGTTACCCAGACTGGTCTGCAGCCCTTGGGCTCAGGCAATCCTCTCGTCTCGGCCTCCCAAAGTGCTGGAATTCCAGGCTTGAACCATCGCGCCTGGCCTGGGTCCACTCTTTTCTAACCTAATCTCTGGGCAGTTCTTTGCATGCCCAAGGCACAAACCCAGCCCACTGCCCCAACACCCTCAGTGAGGCCCTGGAAGAGTCCGAGGTCAGCCTTGCAATGCCAGAGCCGGGCTAGGCGGTGGGGAGGAGGGCACAGGCCCTGTCTGCAGCACACGGCACCTGCCAGACACTTGCAGGCCCCGTGGAGCTGGACGTGCGTGGGAGGTGACTGTCACCAGGAAGTCCTCACAAGGGCTTCTGAGAGGGCTGGTTTCGCGTCTCCTGCTCACCTCACGATTTCCACGGTGGCCTTTCTGGACAGGGCTGAAGTCTCCACAAGCGTCGACAGGATTTCAAACAGCAGGATCCCGGGGTTGCCTCCTGAGTTGAAACAGAACCCCCTTGCTGGAACTGTGGAGGGAGAAAAGGAAAGAGTTCAAGACGCCCCCCCCCCCCCCAGCAGCCATTGCTCAAAAAAGCAAATGCCCTGACCATCTTTTATGGGTTATTTACGATGATACCAAGTCAAGGACGAGAGGTGTAGCAAAATATCAGAAATCTGTTCTATTTGGTAGGCAGGCCATTGTGACTACTGAGTAGACAGAAGAATCATGGAATATTAAAAAAAACGCCCTTAGCTCAATGGCTGCCAAGTAAATGCAGTCATGCTTTATTTATTTATTTATTGTTCGTTGGAGTCTCCCTCTGTCGCCCAGTCTCTGGAGTGCAGTGGCACACTCACGGCCACCCCAGCGTCAACCTGCAGGGCTCGGGCGATCCTTCCACCTCAGCCTTCCAAGTAGCCGGAACTACAGGTGTGCGCTATCACGCCTGGCTAATTTTTTGATTTATTGTAGAGACAAGGGCTTGCCAAGTTGCCCAGGCTGATCTCGAACCCGTGGGCTCAGGCAGTCCTCTTGCCTCAGCCTCCCAAAGTGTTGGGATTAAAGGCTTGACTCACTGCGCCCGGCCCAGTCATACTTCTAACATAGATATAAACTTCACGATAAGGACTGTTGTCTTGTTCTTCTAGGCGACCCCCTCACGACAGTAGCAGTTGCAAGCAGCAACTTCTCTGTTCCAAGGACAGATGTTCATAGTTGTTTTTTTTTTAACTTCTTCCTTTCTTTCTTTTCTTTTTTAGAGACAGGGTCTTACTATATTGCCCAGGTGAGTGCAGTGACTATTCACAGATGCGATCCCTCTACTGATCAGCTTGGGAGTTTTGACCTGTTCCCTTTCCGACCTGGGCCAGTTCACCCCTCCTTACTCAACCTGGTGGTCCCCTGCTCCCAGGAGCTCACATACTGATGCCAAACTTAAGTGTGGACACCTGATTGGCATAGCATCCTGCAGCCCGGAGGTCCTGAACTCAAGTGACCCTCCAGCCTCAGCATCCCTGGTAGCTGGGACTATAGACATGTGCCACTGTGCCCAGCCGCTCATGGCTTTTGAGTGGTTGTACTGTCAAAGCTGTCTATCGTGTCTGGACTTTGGAATGTGTTTATCCCAGAAAGCATGAATAGTGGGTAGCTCTTCCAAGGCAGCCAGCCTGTTAAACTTATAAAGAGACCATGGAGAACTAACTGCAATATTCCTAGCCCCCCTATGGCCCCCGTGGCCTTGGGCGAAGACAAGCTCTAGCCCCTCGGCACTCTCCAGGCCCAGTGCTGATGGGAGGCTCTGCCAGTGGGGAACAGTGTCTTTCCAAGAACGGTAAACTATCCACACCCACACTGGCATGAGAGAGCACTTTTATTTTTCTGAAAAAAATGGTAAAGGATTCAAATTATAGGCCAGACGCGGTGGCTCATGCCTGTAATTCCACAAGGAAGAGCCTGGGAGTCTGACAACATCATCCTGGGCAACAGAGCAAGAACTCAATTCTATGAAAAAAAAAAGTAGCTGTAGCTGGGCATGGTGGCACATGCCTGCAGTTCTAGCTACTCGGGAGGCTGAGTGGAAGGATCACCTGAGTCGGGAGGTCAAGGCTGCAGTGAGCTGTGATTGTGCCACTGCACTCTAGCCTGGATGACAGACAGAGACCCCAACTCGAAAAAAAAAAAAAAGAAAAAAGAATTCAAATTCTCAAAGGGACCACAGATTTCCACCTGTTGCTCCCTGAGTGTTCCCATGGGAGACCAGAGACCAGGCACAGTGTCTCCTACAGGAGACTTGCAGCCAAGGCCAGACATGCTCGATGTATTTAAGTCAAAACTCTAAAACTGTTTCCATTTGCTGAGTATCACAGAAGCAAATCACACTCCAGGCCTGGCCTTCCTGCCTGCCTTCCTGCTGGGAGGCCCCGGTGAGTATCTTCTCCTGTGCGGTGAGCACCCTTTCCTGTGGGGTGAGCACCATCTCCTGAGGGGTGAGCATCTTTCCTGTGCTGTGAGCACCGTCTCCTGTGGGATGAGCACTGACTCCTGTGCGGTGAGCACTGTCCCCTCTGCAGTGAGCACCCTCTCCTGTGTGGTAAGCACCATCTGTGCACGCATGGCTGCCTGGCCACCCCGTTCAACAGCCCATTCACTCACCCACAGCCTTGAGGAAGCGGCTCTTGTCTGTCAGCACCTTGATGAAGTCTGAGAAGTTCACCTTTCCATCTCCTGAAACAGAAATTAAAGGCTCAGTACAAAGATAAGGTGTATCTTAATTATCAGAATACATACTTAAGTACAAAATTAAAGCCCCCTGGACCATTTGATACCTAAAATCAGAGCATCTCGGGGCTGAAGACACGCTTGGGTAAGCACTGTTTTTGTGAAGCGGTCTTGTCCCCATTTCACGAGTCCCCTGTGGCCCACAGAGACCCTGTGGGCATGAAGATCCCAGGGTGCCCATCACCTGCTGTCTGTCCTCCTTCTGAGGACTCAGCCTGACCTCATTTTTCTTTTCCTGTTTTGAGTTGGAATCTCACTCTGTTGCCCAGACTGGAGTGCAGAGGCACACTCATGGCCACTGCAGCCTTGACGTGCTGGGCTTAGGTGATCCTTCCACCTCAGCCTTCCAAGTTAACTGGAACTACAGGTGAACACTACCACACCCGGCTGATTTTTTGATTTATTGTAGAGATGAGGTCTTACCAAGTTGCCCAGGCTGGTCTCGAACCCCTGGACTCAGGCAATCCTCTCACCTTGGTCTCCCAAAGTGCTGGAATGACAGGCATGAGCCACCGTATCCAGCTGTTTTTCTTTTGTAAAATCTTACCCAAATTTCCAACTAAGAGGCTTGGGAAATCGTGCCTGATGAGACCCGCCAGCCCGGGTTCCAACACCTGACCCCCCTTTAAACTGGAAGTTGTTTTCCGACGCTGGCAAAACATCACAACAGATTAAAGAAGGTAATCAAAGTATTATATGACCCTGCAAAGCTGTCTTTTAGGGACTCCCAGACTCTGGGCTCCTTGTCCTCTAGTGATTTCCAACACTCTTTGGATAGGAACTACAAATTGCCAGTCAAGAAAGCCTTAAATCCACCCATCACCTGCAAGCCCCTCTTGGAAACGCCCCTCCTTTCTGGGCCGGACCAGTGGAAAGCTCACACGTGTTGATTTATAGTTATTGTAACTTCTGCCCCACTAAAATATTCGTAGCCACACTGTAATTCCAGCACCTGGGCACACGTTCTCAGGACCTCTTGTGGATGGGTGTTTCTGGGCCTGGTCCTCCTGGTAGCCTGAGAAGCCCATCTCAAAGAATTTTTCAGAGTTTGGCGTTCTTGTCAACCCGTCCCACCCCACGCCCACCCTGTGATATTCCTGTGATAACACCCAGAGTTGTAGCCTGCCTCCTCCAAAACTCAAAGACAGTGAGTGCTAGGAGGGCTGTGTGTGTTTCCATGAAATCACAGAAAACTGGGCAGAGTTCGTGGAAGCCAGGGGCCCATCACCAACTGGTATCACTAAGCCTCCTGTGCACTGACACTGACTGAAGGGCCCCTGGCAGTAGGTGGCAGGAGGTGACAGGGACAGTGTGCTGAAGACATCTTCCACACGACGTATCAGCCGGGTTCCAAGTCACCGGGACAGTACGTTCAATGGGATGCTGTCTGCATGCTTTAGAAATACCGACAAAATGCTGTGGCATGGAAAAGTCAATGCAGGGGGGCTCTGGTGACAGCAAGGAAGACCTGCTGTGTTATGACTCAGACAGAAACAAAGGGCTTGGGTTTTCTTGGTGACGTGTCACTTCTGAAATTGTTAATGCCTCTGAGCCTGTTATTTCAAGGCACCCTCCCAAACGTGACAGGGGACCTGAATGTTTGACATTGAATAGTCCATTTCGTAGCATGAATTTGGTTTCATAACTTGTACACGCACCTCACTGAATCCCTAAAGGGATACACACACACACACACACACACACACACACACACACACGTACATGCATACACACGCACACAGGCACACACACATGCACACACAGGCACACACGCACACACAGGCGCACACATGCGCACACACACATCCTTTTGGGCAGGTGGGGATACATTCCTTCTCATGTTTATAAAGCCACGGAGAGAAAAACATGCATTCACAGCAGTCTCTCACAAGAAACATGACGAGAGGGCAGCGTGCTCACCGTCCGCATCTGCGCGTTTCAGCTCATTGCAGATGTGGTGCCGGGGGAGCCTGAGCCCCAGCTTGGCCAAGGTGCACGTCATGCCACGCAGGTCGATACAGCCCATCTTGTCCTTGCTGAAGAAGGCGTAGGCGTCTCGGAAGGCTGGGGAAATGGAAGGCAGTTATTCAAGAAGGAACACATGTGCTCACGGGATGAGGACAGACAACGCCCTTGAACGGAGCTCACGTTCTGAAAAAGCGTGGAGAGAAAAACGTGTCAAGATGTTTCTGGGGAAGGACAGCATCCTTCCATGGAATTCGGCCTGAGATAAATGAGTGGTGGAAATCAGTCCTTCCTGAGAGGTCCATGCCCTAGACCGATGCCTGTGAGATGCCGCCTTGCACGACAAAAGGGATTGTGCAGCCAGGCACGATGGCTCACACCTGACATCCCAGCACTTGGGAGGTGGAAGCAAGAGGATTGTCAGAGCCTAGGGGTTTGAGACCAGCCCGAGCAACTTAGTGAGACCTCATCTCTACAATCATAATAAAAAAAGTTAGCCAGGCATGGTGGTGTGCCCCCATAGTTCCAGCTACTTGGAAGGCTGAGGCGGAAGGATCGCCTGAGTCCAGCAGGTTGAGGCTGTGGTGACCGTGAGCATGCCACTGCACTCTAGCCTGGGCCACAGAGTAAGGCTCCAACTCAAAAAAAAAAAAAAAAGCTGCTAAATTTATAGCAATGTGCTATGGCAGCAATAGAGAACTAATACTCCAAATTGGGCCCAAATTGTAGGGGTTCATCTGCGTTTTGTATGGATCCTAAGCTTTTCCTTTCTTTCCCTTATGTTTCTTTTTTGAGACAGGCTTTTGCTCTGTGGCCCAGGCTGGAGTGCAGGGGTGCAATCATAGCCCACTGAAGTCTCAACCTCCTTGGCTCAAGTGATCCTCCCACCTCAGCCTCCCGGTGTGCCGGGGCTACGAGCAAGCATCACCACACATGGCTATTTTTTTCCCTTTTAATTTTTTTGTAGAGACAGGGCCTTGAGGTTTTGCCTAGGCTGGTCTCCAACTCCTGGACTCAGGTGATCCTCCCACTTCAGCCTCCCAAGTAACTGGGTCATATGTAGGTGCCACCATGCTCAGCTAATTTTTGATCTTTTGTAGTGACAGGGTCTTGCTGTGTTGCCCAGGCTGGTCTCCAACTCTTGGTCTCAAGTGATCCTCCCAACTCAGCCTCCTAAAGTGTTGGGATTACAGGTGTGAGCCACCTTACCCAGCCAAAGTTTTTTCAAAGAAATAGGGCACTAATTGGAGATAAAGTTAGATGTATATTTTTCTAAAATTAATGAATGCAGAAATAAACCCTAAACAAAGTATGTCCCAAATGGCACCGGAGTAGAACTCACTTCATATCACATTCAGGACTCTGCATCTGTGTGTTCAGTAGTGATTGATTCTACAGGGACAGTGATGCCTCCCCTACCAGCGTGTGAAAGGCGACCTCTTTCCCCGTGGCTGCAGGTGGGCTTCCCGAGGGCTGACACCAAACTGCCCCGGACTCATTTCTCTCTTCTCCCACAGCTCTGGCACGTGAGCAGGCATCATGCAAGTGGGACCCTCATCCACACATCTACGGGTGCATTCGGCGTCCCCGGCGCTGTGCTCAGTGCTTAGCGGGATGGGTGCATTGAGGAGGCAGAGAGCTCCGCCTTCCTGTCAGGATCATGCACAGGCCATCAGGATACTTGTATGAGGTGGTGTGTGCTGTGGAAAAGGGCACTTGTGGGTGGGGGTCAGGGAGAAGAGAATTAGGTTCCTGCAGGCTCCCACCTCCACCTCCAGCACCTGCCGGAATGGCTCAGCCGGCCTCCTGGTCCTGTCCACAGAGAGCTGCACATGCCCCTCCAGGGCCAACCCCCAGCCTCATGGCCACAGACGTCTCCTAGGAAAAGCTCCCCTCTGTCTCCAGTGCCAACGTCCTCTCTTTCCTTGCAGCATGGTTACTATGTACAAACTTGCTGTGATTTCTCCCTTAAAAAGTATTTGAAACTGTGGCCAGCCCTGATGGTGCTCATTGTGTCCATCAGGGCGAACTCATGGACGCTAGGTCATAATCTGATCCTATATGATTTATTTTGTTGCTCAAATTGCAGAAAAAGCTGGGCAGAAGGCAGACATGTGGGCAAACGCAGGTGGACAGGTGGGCCCAGAGGCAGGAGTCTGGAAATCCCATTCTGATCACTCTGGTTTCCTCAGGCAAATGGGCAGCAAGATGCCAGCTAAAAGCGAGGATGGGGGTGGTGCTGGGATCTGGAATTTTTTTTTTTTTTTTTTTGAGTCGGCGTCTCACTCTGTCGCCCAGACTAGAGTGCCATGCCGCTCCCGGCCACCGCAGCCTCCACCTGCTGGGCATCCTTCCGCCTCAGCCTTCCAAGTAGCTGGAGCTACAGGTGCGCGCTACCATGCCCGGCTCATTTTTGATTTATTGTAGAGAGGAGGTCTCGCCAAGTTGCCCAGGCAGGTCTCGAACCCGCAGGCTCAGGCAATCCACTTACCTCAGTCTCCCAAAGCGCGGGATTACAGACTGAGCCACCGAGTCTGGCGGGATCTGGAATGTTTGATGGATATGTGTGGATGAGCACATGGCTCTCATGGGAGCGTCATTAGGTTCTGACACTGCTGTGAGCACATTTTTTAGTCCCTGCGTCTGGCTGGACTTGGAGGGCCTGTCCCTCCCTGCTGGCCAGTTCCTGAAGACAGCAGGTCGCCAGTCTGGGAGTGTGCCCTTCCAGTGCAAAGCAGCCACTGGAGAGTCCAGACCCAGCACCTGACTCTGTGGTCACGGCCAGGGCCCTGACTCCCCAGGGCCAGGCACCCAGAGCCCACCGGCGTCACTCACACCAGCGAGCCCTCAACCTGCTCACCCTGCCTTGGCTGTCCCTTTCTGTGGGAGCCACGATAGTGGCTCTTGTTCACATTCTGTCTTCACCTCTGAGCAACCCAGGTGCCACGATGCTGGCATCTAGGGACCCTGATGAGCTTAAAAGACTTTCTTCACGGTAGTCATTTCTGGGTTTGCATGTCTTACTGTATGAGGGGAACCCCCCCAAAACTCAGGATTTGTATATAAAAAGTTGTGTATTTATTCTTCTGTGTTTAAACTTCAGTTCCCTTACAAGTACTCTCCGTGTGACGCAATACAGCTATCGAGACGCTTTTCCGCTACTCAAAACCGTTCTTGAACTCGTCCATTTGGATGCCTTTTAGTGCTTCTGCTGTTTTTTGTTTCACCTCTTTCACATCGGCAAAACATTTCCCTTGGAGAACTTTTTCATCTGGGGAAATCAAAAAGAGTCACTTGGGGCGAGATGGGGTGAACAGAGAGGGTGGGACACGGGAGGTCTCGCCAAGTTGCCCAGGCGGGTCTCGAACCCGCGGGCTCAGACAATCCACTCACCTCAACCTCCCAAAGTGTGGGATTACCGGCTGAGCCACCTAGCCTGGCTGCAAAGCATCTGTTCACACCAACGCTAGCTGGTCCACTGATGCCAGTGGGTTCCTAGAACACTGGCCTAGTGGGGGAAGCCTACAAAGACCCTCCAGTCAAAAGATAATTTCTTTTTGGAGGAGGGCCTCCCTTGAATCTGACCCAAACAGATCCCTTAAAATGAACACCAAAGTGTATTAAGGCATGTTAGCAACCATAAGGGTTTTTTCCTTTTCCTTTTCTTTTTTTTCTTCAGTCAGGGTCTCACTCTGTCACCTGCGCTGGAGTGCAGTGGCATAATCACGGCTCACTGCAGCCTTGACCTACTGGACTCAAGCGATCCTCCTTCTTCAGCCTTCTGAGCAGCTGGGATTATAAGCACATGCCACTGGGCCTGGCTAAGTTTTGTATTTTTTGTAGAGACAAGGTCTTCCTATGTTGCCCAGGCTGGTCTCAAACTCCTGGGCTCAAGCAATCCTCCTGCCTCGGCCTTCCAAAGTGTTGGGATTATGGGTGTGGGCCACTGTGCTCTGCCAGAAATCTTAACGTTCTATAAAACTGTAAACTGTTATTATTATGAGACATTTAGCTCAGTTTTACAATTAGAAAGGTAAATTTGATTTTGGCAATCCACTGTGTTTTCCAAACTAGCTTTCCCAGTGGTACTGGTGTGTGATTCCTTTCTGTCTCCTGGTCCGTGTCCTCACTGGTTCTAGGTGTGGCGGGGGAAGCACTGGCCTCCAAGATCCTAACACAGCCAGGCTGAACTTCTTCCCATTTTTGAGTGCATCACATACTCCCCTACTCTGGCCCTTTGCAAACTGCTCTTTCTGCCGGGAACACTCCTCTCTGGACTCGGCCTTCTCAGGACCTCCCTTCTTCCCTCCAAGACCTTCTCTTAGGCTCTTGTAACACTCCAGACTTCTCCTATCCCGACTCTTGTCCTATTATACTTTAAATTTTATCATTTTTCTTCCTTTGAGGAATCCTGGACTTTAACAGCTCATCCCCTTCATCACTCGATGTATACTGTCCACCCACAAGTTCTTTGAATACATATATGTGCCCAGGTCCGTCTAAATTCTAGAGAGATGTCCACTTGAAAGCAATCCCCTTCCTGTTCTGCACAGAGCTTCCTTTCCCTCGAATGACAGAGGGACAACCCTAGAAAATGAATGACAGAGGAAAACCTCGCAGGGACAACCCCGGAAATCCCAGGCATCTCTTAGAGAAGGAAGGATCAGATGTGTTGAGCGGCTGTTTACGCTTCCGTTTTGAGGGAGTCTCAGTACCTTCCATTTGTGAAGCGCTTAACTTCTTTTCTTTGTGTTGTGATTGGCATTGAGGAGATCCTGGTCTGTCTTTGTCCCTGAGAAGAGATATGAAAAGGTTGAGATTTCAAACCTATGCGAAGCCAGCAAGTCTTAGTCCTCCTTGTCAGTGTTTGTTGACTGGAATGACTGACAGCATCACAACACATGGGGACTGCCGTATGGACTGCCTGAGGACAGCGGGACCCCTTGCTGTCACTTGCCAATAGCACAGGATGGACAGTGAGAGGTTGGCCCCCGGGTCCACCCTGCTCTATACTTCCTCATCATTCACCCTTAAAATACGAGTTTCCTCTTCTTAGAGACCAGGAAACCAAGGCTCTGGGGATTAAACAACTTGTCCCAAGTCCCACAGATAGTAAGGAGGAGACCTAGGATTCAGATTTAGATTGGTCAGACTCCAAAGATCAAAGCCATAAGCTCGACACCATTTCTTCTGCTAGAAATATATCATTGCCATTTTTTTCCTGGCTCCAACCCTCAACCTTGAGTTTAAAATTTTAGCTAGTGTAGATAATGTTGTGGTGAATATTCTTATGGAGAAACTTTTGCAACTATGATCAATTTATGACTCTAATTGCCAAATTGTATTTTTCTAGCACATGAGAGAGCTAGAAATAGAGATAGAGACAGGGATAGGTAGAGGTAGGAATGGATAGACACAGGGATGGGGTTAGGGATAGGGACGGGAAAGGGGATGGAGATGGAGACAGAGAGAGGGATGGGGATGGAGATGAGGATGAAGATGGAGACATGGGCTGGGACAGGCAGAGAGGGAGACAGAGGCAGGGACCAGATGGAGATGGAACGGGGCTGGGGCTGGGGACGGGGATGGGTGTAGGGATGGGACAGGGATGGGGATGGAGATGGGGGTGGGGACGGAGATGGAGACAGGGGTGGGACGAGAATGGGGATGGGCAGGGGACAGGGCGGGGATGGGCGTGGGAACAGAGATGGAGACAGGAATGGGGGACAGGTAGAGCTAGGAATGGATAGAGACAGGGATGGAGCTAGATAGATATAAAGACAGAGACAGAGCTAAAGATAGACAGAAGCAGAGATAGAGGTAGCTCGAGAGAGGAGAGAGAGAGAACATTTCTGAAAAGTTTGGAACCCTGGGTGACCTTTCATTTCTTCTGCAAAGTGAAATCTGGAAAAGACAGAAAAATAATACATTGGCAATACTTTGTTTAGATCTGCAGTCATTTATTAGTTTAGGAACACAAAAATGTATCATGCAAAACTAGATTTGCTTATAATATGGTGACAAGCTTTAAATGCACTTAAGAAATGTAATTAAACTGTAAAATTTAATTTTAATAATCATGATTTTATAAATTTATTTTATTTAAAATGCCTAAACAAATGGGGTCTGTGCTCCTGTGAGAACCTAATACTGCCACTGATCTGACAAGAGGTAGAGCTCAGGCGGTAATATAAGCGATGGGAAGCGGCTGTAAACACAGATGAAGCTTCACTCATTCGCCCGCCACTCACCTCTTGCTGGGCGGCCCAGTTCCTCACAGGTCACGGACTGGTAACATGGCTTGTTAGGGTGTTGGGGACCCCTACTCTAGGATATTCTGTGTCCTGACATAAAAATAACTTCTCATTTAGGAGAACAAGAAGAACACTTTGCTTCTCCTAAAGTACATCTTTTTCTTCTTATAAAATAATGAATAAAAAATCTTATCTTCAATTCAGGTATTGTTTTATAATCAAACTTATCACAAAATAGATATTTGAAAAACATTCAAATTGTTTCAGCATAGGCTTTATGGGTATTTAATGCATTCATCACCTTAATAATTCTTTGCCATAATATATTCATATTTATCACCTTAAGACATGGGTTGCCTACCTCTTGCTGTGGGACTTGGGTACTTTTGTTGGCAGATTCAGCTTAAGTTTTGCTCTAATTTCTGAAACTGCCATGTGGCCAGTGACTCCGTCTGGAATTCAGAAAATACAATTAAGAATCAGCTTGCAGCTTAATTTCTTCATATTCTTGCACCACTTTACCTACCTGAGGCCTCAAGGAACGGTTAGATGCATAAATTCAAGACACAGGTGTGCGTGAACTTGGACGGCCACGGGAAAGGCTTCTTCATTGTTCTCAGATCTCTCTCTCTCTCTTTTTTTTTTTTTTTTGAGTCGGAGTCTCACTCTGTCGCTGCTCCCCGCCACTGCAGCCTCGACCTGCTGGGCTCTGGCGATCCTTCCGCCTCAGCCTTCTGAGTAGCCGGAATTACAGGCACGCGCTACCACGCCCGGCTGATTTTTTGATTTATTGTAGAGATGAGGTTTCGCCAAGTTGCCCATGCGGG